GGGGGGGGGGGGTCGAGCTGGTTCCGCTGCGAGAGCCAGCCAGAGCTGCCAAACCACAGGCTAAAAACAAGACCCCAGAGACGTGAGGAGCTCTGCAGTGCTGAGAGAGAGAGAGGAGAAAACTGTTAGGCTGAGAGGCATCCAATGTGCTAGCTGTGGAGATGATCTGGCAAGCCCCAGAAAATAAAGTTCTTGGTATCTCTGTAATAACAACACGAGATAGCTGTGATACGAGTTGTACCAGTAGTGAGGGTGTGAGGAGAAAAAAATCCTTCCATTGTCCTTTTCAACAGAGCATGTGCACATTTAAAAACAAAGGAATGCAAATCCATCATACTTTAAGTCCTGCATCACAAATGGAGATAACCAGCTCGTTTGATTGAACGTCTTGTCTTCTCCTGATAAAGGCATCAGTCAGTGATGGATGCAGCCGTCTTCAGTGTTTAGTGTTTCATCTTGATTCTCTGGCGTAATAAAGCACGTTGTTCCACTCCCCATTTATGCGTCGTACCACCCACTCCCGTTGTTCCCCATGTCTTTGAGCTGCCCAGATGAAAGCCACGCCGAGTCGAGCCTTGTTGTGTTTTCAGTGGGAATATGTGCTTGTTGTTTTTTTGGGGTTGTAAATAGACACAGCTGTCTGCCATCACCACTCCTCTCTTGATTTATACTCCTACAAATCCCACAATGCCGCTGGACCAGCTGGAAGCCATAAGTGCAGTGTTTTGCTGTATATGTGCACTCCTTGAGAGGGATCCAAGACATTATAAAAACCAGAGCAGGGCTCCAGCTATTGATGGTTCCTCCTTTAGTGCCATATGACGTCTTGAATGGCTATTAACACAAAATAAGAAATAGCTAATGCACTTATTACTAATACTTAACATATCTGGGATGGAAAAGCCTATTTTATTGTGAAATTCCCCAAAAGTCTGACTGAGAAAGACAAATTGGCACCAATTTCTCTGTCATCAGTCGACACAGAGGTGAGATTTGACACGAGCTCGGTTTAACACCCGGGACTGAATGAAATTGAGTTCTTAACTCTGCGGCTTAACGGGCCGTGCTTTTCGTGATCTGTCACACCAGCAAGTATCCATCACCTGCTAGCCCACAGCTCAGCAGAATGCACCTCGATTTGTTGCCACAATTTAAAAGCTGAACTTTTCTCTCCAGAGTGGGGAAAAAAGGTGTCCCTCTGGCACACTCTCACCGTGTGCTTTTAAATCAACTCGGGGAGGAGGGAGCGGACACCCTACTGGTCCATCTCGACACCGTTACGCTCCAAGCCTCTAATGGTTGTAATTAGTTAATGGACAGATAACATTTATTAAGGCTGCGGTAAGCACTTTTCCCTCCCATCTACCGCACCTCCGTCGCCCAATCCGCTGCCAAATTCAGTTGCCCTGGAAACAGCATTAATAACGCCATTGGCCATCAAAGACCTCCAGATCTAGACGTGTGCCTTGCCAAGCAGTTACTCCCACTCCCGCATGCTTGCCAAGAGCAGCAAAACACACACTCAGAGACACAAATGCACACGCACAAAAAGTGAAAAGAAAACTCATCTAAAGTACACTTGAGCTGTTGGGCTCAACTAAAGTGCCGCAGCCATTGCTAGTTTTACCACACTTGTAATCTTCTAATTCAGACACTCACACACGGATCAATTTTCAGTTCACACCGCCTGGCAGTGCCTCGAGTTTCACAGAATGGAAAGTCACAAGCACTTCTTAAATGTTGACATTTTGTTGCCCTTAATTTTTATTTTTCTTTCCTTTGATCATCTTATACACCACTCTTAAACTTGACAGTAAGCGTGTCGATGATTTTAATGGTGATAACGATGGGTAATGTTGATTATTTGATGATGACATGTTTTCATCTTTATTCACGCGGAATGAACAGTCTTATACCATCAGTATGCTATGTGATGACTGTGTGTGTTTGACAGGAATGTATCATAATGATCTTTCTCTATTAATAAAGTCATATTTTTCTATTATTCCAAGACTTATGTGTGTGTACGGATTATGGCTGCTACTAACGATCATTGTCATTACTGATTAATCTGTCGATCACCCCAAGATGATGTTCTCAAATGTGTAGTGTTGTCCACAACCCAAAAATATTCAGTTTACTAAAAGAAAGAAGAAATTATTTTTGAGAAGCTGAAATCAGAGAATGTGGACATTTTAGCTTAAAGAATGACTCAAAACGATTAATTGATTATCTAAATAGTTGATGATTAATTTAGTTGACAACTAATCGATTAATCGACTAATCGTGGCAGTTCTAGTATGAATGCTCAATATCTGAAGTGTCACAATGTGCACCAGTAAATTTGGTCCAATTTGACCAGTGCCACCTCTTATTGCTGATTGTTAGGATTACAAAAGGTATTAAAATGGAACCGAAGACAGAAGTACCATCCATGTTGCAACTTGAGTCTGAGAATGGTAGATGAGTCTCTTCCCCTGCCTTCGCACCATCTTTTGGTGCACTTGCTGTGTTATGTAATAATTATGTAGTATTTGCTTGATGCTTACAGACCTTTGTTTCCTGTGCTTCTCTCTGACAGTTAAGAGACCAAACGAATTTGGAGATGGGCGACTTTCCAGTGGCAGAGACCCACTAGGTGGAGGTAAGGCAGTTTGATCAGTACTACTTCTTTGTTTTCCCATTTCCCACTCGCAGCAACACATTCATGGAAAAAGTACTAATGTTTGATGAAGTGCTCAATCCCAATGTACTAAATGTAATTCATAAAACTAACTTTTCTTATATGCTTTCCCACTTTCCTGTCACAGATTTACAATTCCCTGAGTGGAACACAGCATCCCCGTCATCGGAGCCTCCAGTGACCCGCATCTCCGAGAAGGACAACTCATGGTTGTACACCCTGGACCCCATCCTGGTCACCATCATTGTCATGAGCTCCCTGGGCGTCCTGCTCGGGGCGGTCTGCGCCGGCCTCCTCCTCTACTGCACCTGCTCGTACAGCGGCCTGTCGTCACGCTCCTCCACCACCCTGGAGAACTACAACTTTGAACTGTACGACGGCCTCAAGCACAAGGTCAAACTGAACCAACAGCGCTGCTGCACCGAGGCGTGAGGAGGTCGAGAGCGTGAGAGAGGGAAATACAAAAGGGGGACGGAACGAGAGCGACGGCCATTTTGTGAAAACCTCTCACTATTTAATTTCCCTCCAGTTCACTTTAGTGTCAGTTTACTTCCTCTGTGGTGCAGATCCCTGGACACACGGACAAGCCACTTTTTTAACTCAAATGAGAACTCGGAAGACGTGGAACAGTCCAGTGTAGGTCGGTTTGTGGTGAACGAACCAATGAGAGAAAGACTGGGGTTACCCAGATGGGTTGCTCCATTGCTGGGATGTTAGGCCTCAAAAAATAAATATCTACACATATCAATTACAGACTCCTGCTCCACCAAAAGAGAAGTGTTTATAAATGCATCATAGATTTGTAAGAGGTCTAGTTTTGAAACTGGATACTGTAAGCTACATACTGAGTCAGAACACATTGTGTTGGAAAGGTGGTAGGTTAGGAACGTGCTTATAGAAAGCGTCTTTTTTGATCACATGTGAACACAGTGGCCTAGAACTTAGCTCCCTTGTGTGGCCCAGTGGTTTTTTTTTCTGTTCCGTCGTAAACTCTGCTACCTATCAGCCTCAGTTATCCTCTTAGTTCCTGACAGTCTGTGGTATTTTTAGTCGCCGACGACATCCATCCAGCTTGTCTTTCTACTCGGCCACTCTCTTTCTGTTTAATGTTTTCGTTCTGGCCTATTGCCAGTCTGCGATTGCAGATTAAAAAAACAGGCGGAGAAAGTGTATGTGTGTGTAGAGGTGGGGAGGTGGGGGGGGGGGGGGAGGCATTTTAACACATTCTTTTTGACGACGGAGAGAGTTATTGTTAGATTTAGTTGTCGGAGACTGTTGTAACTGGTTCCTGTCAAAGAGAAGGTCATGTTTACATTGTGGTTAATGGTGAAAGGTCAAGGAGCTTTGGTCGGTGCAACCTATGGATTGCTGGTAAGGGCTGAGACCGAAAAAAACCACTAAAGAAACAAAGAGAGAGAGACTATGACTGACAGAGAGAGCACTAAAATCCCCCTGCCTCTCTCTCACAGGGGCGATGTTCTCCCTTTCTTTCGTGAAGACATTAAAAAAAACAACAACAAATGGGATCAGAAGCGAAACGCACAGCCAGGAACAGCTCTTCTCAATCGACAGACCGTGTGCCCCGGACACACGACAAGCCTTAAAAAGCGAACTGTTCACGGGAATGTCGAGAAAGGAACGTTGAGGCGACAGCAGGACAAGAGAGGGAGGTAACCGCCTCTCTCTTTTTACATGTGGACCTCAAAAGCCATGATTTAAAGGACCTATCCCCCCCATCCTCCCCACCCTGACTCACACGTACACACAGATCACACCCCCACCTCAACCTAATGGTTAATTGTGGCCAATTTTCTCAAGTTGTTTTTTTGTTTTCTTCACTTTGGCTCTTGCACAGCAAGGCGAAGCGTTCTTCGGGACAGTTCTGAACCAATCGGAAAGGGTCTTGTCGCGCACGCTCTGAATGGACTCACAAAGCCATGAGAGGGATAGAAAAAGTCTCAGAATTCCCTCCCACGCACATGCACATATACATACACACATTGCTTCACTTGTATATACAGATGTGTATACAGAACATGAATACACACCATCTCAAGAAAACTGACAGGCACTCAGACCTACAAATGAAGGGAAC